TGACAAGAGGAAGAGATGCCTGGGACTTGAGATGAGAGGTCGGAAGTTCGAAGTTGCCGGATTGCTATGAGTAAAACGTGTTGAAACTCTCTCTCTCTCTCTCTCTCTCTCTCTCTCTCTCTTTGTCTTTCTAATCTCATCCGTGATATTTAGAATTGCTTTAGAAAAACTTCCAACTGTAGGCGGATTAGAAAATGATCAAAAATTTGTGGCAAAATATTTAGTTTTTGTAAACAGGATGTTGGAGGCAATTACGGCGTGTTTCTGAGACTCTTAGTTACTTTATTCAAGCAGATAACCCATTATGCTAAAAAAGGATGGGTTAATTGTATAAGATTTTGACAAGGCTGAATCACTTGGTAAAAACAAACATCTTACCTAAAAAAGGCAATTTTACGCAAAGTTTTGAGCGAGAGCATATTGATTTTATGTCGGCAATAGACAATAGACAGCAAATGCAATTACATCATCTCGTGAAAGGAGCCCCTTCGACGACTCCTTACTGTGTTAATAGCTTTTTTCTGAGAAAAAATGATCATAGATTTTTAAAACTGGATAATCCGTGGAGTATTAATCGGTTAGGGTTGAAAGTTTTTGTGTGGGACCCCCGGGAGACCCTTAACGTGTCCGGGAAAATTTGACCCTTTTTGTGACCCCGGGGTGATCTTATGTAGATCTTTCGGCATTGTGACCTTCAGGTGCAATGAAAACCTATAAAAGTAACACCGGAAACTGACCTATCCCTTAGAAATAACTACTGGGAATGTAAAGAGATCATTTAGTGAGAACAAGGTTGGATCAAAGGTTCCTGTAGGGAGTATATTAGATGCCTTGAGGCACAAACTAATATCTTGTTCCTCTATAATAGTGTTGAAGTAGTAGAAATAACCCAAGTGTATATGGTAAACAGTGATTTCAACTTAGCTTGGCGAATGAGTTTTAACAGCAAATCAACTAGGCTTAACTAAAGTTTTACCAGAAGAAAATGGAAGTAATAGAATGAGGGCTTAGAGTTTCAGTCTCCTAAATAAAATGAACCCATGGGAAAATTACTTGGCACCACGGATATGATTTTTTGCCTGCATTTGACTCCTGATGCACGAACTACCTTCCCCTGATAACTAGAAGGTCGGGATAATTAAAAAAAAGACCTTGGAAGGCTCACTTTGGAGGTTTAGTTTATTCTAAACTCTCACCCCAATCCTGGCACGCTACTGCACTCGACTTTTTGCAAAATTTTTGATACAGAATGTTTAAGTGTAGCTGAAAAATTCCTTCTCATTTACTATAGCCGCTCTCAACGAGAAAAATATTGTCTTTTTTTCACAAAATTATCATCCAAGCATATAAAAAGAAGCAAATTGAAAATTTTACAGGTAAAACTTTGAGTTGTTCTAATTTTTGTTTTATTATTTTTGTTTTAATTTGATTTGATGTTAATTTCAAGCAGAAGCATCCATTTTATCTAATCACAATACTTGTTTTTTTAATTCTCACATTTTTTGGCACATGGATAAAAATTAGTTATAAATAAAACAGCAGAAAAAATTAATTAGAAATGATGTAACAAAAAGTTAGTGATAAAATTTAAGTTGCGTATAAAAAAGACTCATTTGATTTGATAGAAACAGCAAATGGTCAATCTAAATTTGAAAAAAAAAAATTTAAATTGGTGCAAAAGTGTATAAAACTTTGTATGCGAAGTACTTTGCATCTATATTTGTATCTGAGTAAAGCAAAAAAAATCGATTGGGTTGGTTTTTATTTCTATCAACAAATTTTGTCATTTAATTAATAACTTTATCACGGATTTTTTTAATCATCCGAATGATAATTTTGGCTTGAGCTCTCAATTTAAAAGGTATGTGAGATATGCGAAATATGAAATATTTTGCACTTGAAACTGCGTTTGAGAGGAAAACTGTAAATTGAGTCAACCCTTTTTTGTACAAACACTTCAGAAACTTTAATGAGCAATCGAGTTAATGCCAAAAATCGAATTAATTTTTGTTTTGTGACGTTTATGTTTGGCTGACTAACTTTTAAACGCAAACAAGACTGCTCGTATCAGGGCGAGGCCCAGAATGTTCCGACTGTCTTTTAAGGTCTTTGGAGCAGTAATAAAATTAAAAACTAAATGAAAGAAAAAAAATGAATCGTTTTTTAAAGTTTGAGATTTTTGCGAAAATCTTCCCCCCACACGCCATATAAAGTACAAAGTGATAGATTTTGCTCCTAGTAACAAATCCTTTGAAGCAAATTCTTTTTTAAGGCAAAGGAGCCTCCTTCAACCAATTTGGAACTGTTTCTCAGGCGAATTAAATCTCCGTTCACGAGTTAATAGCGCGAAATATATCGCGCGTTTATTGTCCCAAATTGGCGATTTTTAAACCACCATAACCTTACAAAAAATATCCACAGGTGCAATATCTTTTCAAGTTTAAGCTTAAGTGAAACAATGCCTTGTGAATGATATTTAAGAATTCCTTCAAAAATGGCTAGTTAAAAAGTCGAATTTTGTCTGAAGTAAAAAAAACCACCCGAGCACGAATATTCCATTACTTTCTGAACGAAAATCAGAACAATAAAAGCTGCCGGTTCGTTCTGACTATCGATGATATCGAGGAGTAAGTATAATATGCTACGGGTGGTTTTTTTCATTCAAGCTGATGTCGCGAAGAACGTTTTGGCACCTTAGGGAGCGATCCTTCACATTTGCGTTCCGAAGAAGGTGTTCAAAGTTAGCGTTCAAAATTGAATTGATGGAAACTAACTTAGTGATAGTATGATTTCAACTACGACTCAAAATTTATCTTATTATAATTGATATCGACAGTCTAAACTTATCGTTCATCCAAAATTTTTCAGGTAAATTTAAGGTAAAGTTTAAGTAAATTTTATTTTATCTGGAGTTTATCTCAAATTTTTTGTGACTTGACTGCTTCTCAGTTTTGGTTGCAAAATATTTCCAAATATTCCACTGTCATACTTTTTTTGCGACATTGATTTTTGGTTGATCAATGCATGGGGCTTTTAAAGGCGCCCTTTGGAGCCATCATACGATAAATATGAGCAGGTAGCGCGCGCCAAAAGGAAAAAGCTCAAAAACGTTTTTTTTTCTGGCCTATATTTTGTCTGCTAAAAACAGCTTAAAAGTCATTTTTTCAAACGCTGTCCCCTTTAAAAGCTCCTGCGCAAGCTACTTTTAGACGCAATCAGGTTTTATAAATTTTATAAATAAAGCAAACCTTCTTAGATCTGTTATCAAGGTCATTGATGATTTTTTTGCACTCGTATTTCCTCAAGTAGACAAAGTATATAAGATATAGTTTCTTTCATTTCTGGTGAGCTTGAAACGCCGCAATTCGAACACCCTCCCTTAAAATTCAACCATCACCTCTGCCTGGACTGAAAATTCTGTGGAAAAGCTAGAAAAGTTAAATGAGAATTTTCCATTATTTCTGAAAAGCTTGTGTTACTAGAACTTCAATTTTTGTGGTCGAGCCCAATTATGCTAAGCTCAAGGCAACCAGTTATCTTTGTCTGAACATTATCTAACCACGAACTATATCGCGTACTAAGTAACCCAAGAAGCCAAGTTTTCAATCTGCAAACACCCTTAATTTTGCAAAAAAAACAAGCATTACGAAGCAAAACTGTGCACATGATAGGCGCAAAACTTTGGGTCTGTATAATCCTCGATTCTTCAAACATAATCAAACTTTGTCGGAACGATCAAAAAGAAAAAAACAACAAAAGAAGAACAAAAAGATGATCGTTGTTGCGGATCCCGCTTACAATTCATAAAATACACAGTTTGGCCTCGTAATTAACACAAAAAATTGATAATAAAATGTTTTCAAAACATATCTAACATTTCATCACTTATTATATATTCCTTTAACAAAATGCAAATTATTTTGTTAGATCGGCAGTAGACAAAAAATGTCTGTTTTCAGACGTCTAGCGTTTTAAACTTTCGTATAATCAAACTCAAAGTTTCTAAGAAACTCCAAAATTTATACACAAATTCAAAGTTCCCTTCCAATTTGTATGATGATTTGCTCAAACTAGATTATTCTTTTTCTGTATGTCATTGGGTTAATTAAAGTATAACTTTAATTTTTGAGTCACAGTATTAATTAAAGTATTCAGTTAATTAAAGAATTAAAAACAGATAAAAGAGAAAAGATAAAATTATTATATTTCTATATGTATGTAAATCTATTTATAAATATAAAATTTTTTTTTTTGATACAATATTTCGAACCGCGCAAAAAATTGAGGCATAGCTTTGAGTCTATTTGAAAATTTCATTAATTAGTTGGTCATTAACTAAATTGTAATTATCCAAAAACATGTGATTGAACCTGTCCAGCTCAGCTCTACAAGCGTTTTGTAAGCAAACTTGGAAAATCTGTGCTATAGGAGGACACACAATTGAAAAATCTTTTTATCCCAGCCCAAAGCAAAAATTTTGAACGCTTAATGCCATCAATACCAAGTTTTTGAGTTTTCAGTAAAAAAAACTCTCGGAGAACTAAAAACGCCCGAGCACAAATTTTTCAAAATATTCATTATCCTAAACTGGTTGGAATCTTGTGTATATTCTTTCGTAATACGTCTTTTTTCATGGGTACATTGAAGGTACACTAGAGTATGCAGGTCGTCGCAGTAACGAAAATACTCTTGTTCTATAATTTAGATGCTTCAAAAAGAAATCGTTGAATGGTTATAACATTATGAAAACTCCTTACTCGATTAAATGACTACACAAAAACAGTTTTAATTGACGAAAAAAATCTGTGATGAAAAATCAAGAGCTACAGTTGTCAAATTTTTCTGAGGTTTGGTATTTTAGAAAAACCTATTGATTGTAGGCTGTTTTTAAAGCTAAGAACAGTTTGTCTAGTTTTCTTTAGCTAATACTTCCTATTTTGTCTAGCTAATACTTACAAAATAAATCTACAATTTGAGAAACGTAGTTCTTTTGTACATACCTGCAATTTTTTTCTGAGTTTTTGTAGCGAACGATTTTTGCCAATAGAAGTTTGAGTGATAAAAATTGTACAACTTTTAGTAATTTTTTTTACGATCAATTTTTCAAGCTAAACTTGACTGAAATTTCATCCAAGGTATAAAAAATAATTATTCTACCTTAGTTTTGAAATTTTTAATCACCAAAAAAAACATCTCATTAAATTTTACAAGTGATTTTGAAGAACGTTTTTAAGGCTAAGGCTTCACTACAGTGAGAAAAATAACTCTTCCGCCTTTGTTTTGAACCTTTTGATCACTAGAAAATACGTCTCATTATTTTTTACAATCGGTTTTAATGATCGTTGTTAGGGCTAAGGCTCCACTACAAATTAGCTTCATTATTTATTTGTCAGAAAAAAATGTCTGCAATTAGGTAGATTTGAAAACGTCTTCGGATTACATAAATAACCGCACTGGAGTTTGATGAATAGTAATTGATTATATTGTCATTTTAAAACCAGTAGCCATAAAATTACGAAAGTAATCGATTAGAATCCAGCACAAAAGGATTGAAATCTTAATGTTTTTTATATCAAAATAAGCCATTATAATTAATTATAATCGGTTATACTCCATTAAAATTGGATTACAATCATAATATTTTTAACATCAATATAATCCATTATAATCGATTATAATTGGTTATAAAGAACTTTTGCGATAATAATAGTGAACTTTGAGAATTTGCTACGAATTACGTTTCATAGTCCTAAATTGTTCACATAAAATTCTATACATTTAATTTTCTCTAATTTTTCAATTTGGCAGCTTAACATTTTATTTAGCTGTGTTCTTTTTACCATCGCTTTTGTAAAAATTTACCATTCACCCTCTAGCCCCTCTCCCGCCCTTTACCCCTGGGATATGCATAAAGGTCGTGGGGGGATTGCAGGTAAATTTCCTGAGGTGGTGGTGGTAAGGTTGCGGTGGTGGGGGGAATTGGGGAGGAAGTATTTATTTATATTTATTACTCCAAGCAAGGTTGCGGAATACTTCTGGTTCATTTGTAGCTAAAACCAGTACTTTTTTATCCGGAATCTGAATCTGACTGTCTACAAGAACATTTTTGAGTCCCATCCAACTGTTATTTATCGGTCGAAGTTCAATCCAGTGAATAATGTATGCAGATCGGTCTAGAAAACAACCGATTACATTTATTTCATAGAAGGCTCGCACCAATTTGTGAACCACACTGATCTGGCGATGAGAAAACATTGATCATGAAAAAAAAGTCCAACCAATTTTGAAACAGTGACACAGCTCATCATAACATTGAGCAGGGTTAAACTCTCAGAAAATTTGCAACAGCACTTAAGCACAGTTTCGTAAATTACAAATTATAACATCAATATCTTGCATTTGTTTTGTAAGCTTCCATAAAACTATTCTCTCGTACTTTACGAGCAGGGGCCTGTCAAATTGGAACCAGTTCAAAACAAGTAAAATGATATCCAATATTATTGATAACTTTCACTGTAAAATACTTAAAACTAACCAATCATGATTCATGACTAAATCTTACGACAAATGGTAACAATGAATTTATTTTTAGTTTCAGCCAGAGAAGAACAAATTTAACTTAGAAAGAAAGCAGTTGCTCTACCTCTCCTCTAAACTAGCAAGAATACCAGTATACACTTGTATTTTGAGAAAAGGGAATATAAGAGTAAGATTAGTATCGGTATTAGATTAAGAATTTGCATGATTTGAAAAAAAGCATACATAAATTAGACATATTAGATTAGAGAAAAAACCAACAAAATGTAAAACCTAATCGAAAAATAAATTAGCTAGCTTATTTTCACGTCCCATTAAGTCTAATCAAATCAAGGCAAAAATAAAGCCAAAATCAGGTCATATCAAATACAGCAATTTAAATCTCTGCCCTGCAAAGCGAAAAGCAGACTCCGACGGTTATTCAATTTCAAAACTATCTAAGAAGTAAATTTTGATTAATTATTATACAAACTGCAAAGAATAGAGCCGTAAATTTGATTTACAAGCCGTTGTTCATAACATTATATATGATTAGTTTTAAAATTAAACACTCAGTCGACAAATAAACCCATATCTACCTCAGAACTTCAAATATGTCGTAAATATGTAAAACATTTAGTTTTCATGGTTAACAAATTCAAAAACACAAAACAAAAGTTAGTTAATGAAAATGTCTTTATTGAGTAGTTTAAGTGTGTCTTTCCTGGCTTCTCAAGGACCTTTCTATTAAATTTGTGCTTCTTCAAAAATAAACATTAGCATTTCTAAACAACTAAGTTGACTTCAAAACAACAACTTCAAAACTTTATTTGCATTTTGAACCATTTTTAAAAACATAAAAGTTTTCAATCATTTTCTATCTCCGCTTAATTTGAACCCTATTTTTATCTGTTTAAATCAAATTTTGAAGCTTCTATTATATCTTTAAAGTTTCTCCTTAAATCTATTTCCAAATTTTAATCAAAACCTTCAAGTTAACTAAATTTTAAGCCTTGGTCATCAAGGTTTTCCTTGGATCACTCAAAAAATTCAATCCCATCTCCTTATATAGTACCTACCGATCTTAAACGTCGAATCAATTTACAACTCTTATAAACGAACCAGGATTAACTGAAATTTTTCCAACAAACTATTTATTCAAATTAAGCTATACTGTGAACAACTTTGGTTACCCAATCTTCACTTGAACCCCACCTCTTTCTTGACCCAGACCTAGAACAAATCTTAGCACTAGTAACAATTATAACAGTATCTGACGATCTACTTGTGTTCTAATTATACCTGAACATTGTGGATTGATTTACTTTTCGCCAACACTCGATCTCTTATCGATCCAAGTTTAAGTAAAATTAAGTTTACTTAGATTTAAGGTTAACGCCAAATTCAATTGAGAGCAGTAAAAGTCATTCTTTTATTTTAATATACTCTCTCCCCAACCCGTCTCACCACGACAATAAAATCCGAGATTTAGGATAGCCTCACAAAATAGTAAGAACTAACTGATTACGAAAAAGAAACTGACGCCTGAATTTTGCATCAGTTATTTATGTCGAAAGGTAACTTAGGAAATAAGCTTATTTACTAAATAAACTTAAAGATAGCTTATATCAGATCAAAAAATGCAAACAAGAAAGAAGGCGATAAACTTTAATCAGAATTATATTTTAAAACTCAATTCTCTGGAACGCAAAACGCTGTTTCGGAATCCAATCTAAGAACTGTGCAAAATATGAAACTCTCAGACAAGCCAGTATGCAATCAACGATACGTTTTTAAGTCATACGCTACAACAGCATCATCTATAAAAGGAAATAAAAGCATTTATTGCCAGAAAATAGTCGGATTATTTAATTGGAATTAACCAACAAGACACAATAAAAATTACACATCAACTGACATAGCACATAAAAGTGTTTCAAAACGACAAAACTTTGACGATGGATCCATCTTCTCATTTGTCGTTGATCTCACGTTTGTCATTGATCACAAGGACAAGTGCAATTTTGCAACGATCTGATTAATAGTTTACTTCGAAAAAGAAGAAGCGCATGCTCACATAAAGTCCCCGAAACGAAAATAAAGCGACAGATACTAGATCCTTATCTACCAAGTATTAGTAACATAACCTCACAATTTGGAATAATCACTGTTGAAATTTTACCGCCAGTTTTGAACAACTAAACACCACCTGATTGAATACAAACAAAGACATAGAACTGAAACTCTGAAAAACGCTTGCAGAAATTTTCGAAATCAGTCAAAATCAAAACTCAGAAAGAGCCAGCGCAATATTCAAAAGTGATGTTTTTTCAATCATCTAGAGTTATATTTCAACATAAGACACCCATGGAATTTTCTATGTATCCCTTCCACAAACAGGCAGTAGGAACAGAAACAAACCTATTTTCACCATTTTTAGATTGAGTTCACAAAACACTTACTTATACAGAAGTTTCACAAATAATAAAATTTGATTTACAATTACTATTAGCATTGTTCATTGTAGATTTTTTTCAACAGATTCGAGATTTAATTGAACAGTTTCGAAAAAGTTTTCGCTCACACTGTGATAAAGATACAATTTTAGCAGATGAAACAATTTACGTATGGGACCCAAAACGGTATCACTAAATGTTTTTTTTAAAACATATCAAATGATATCACCAGTGCAACAATTCGATCTGACTCAGTACATAAGAAATTACCTAAGAGTAACTACAATAACGACGGATACAACACCTGTAAACTGCAACACAATCTTTTAAGATAGAACATTTAACAACAATTTAAACTCAAAATTTATGAGCACTTAAGTCAACCTAAATGGAACTTCAACGCTAAGTCATCAAGATATTCAAACACCATCATATTTCATAGATGAAGAAGTTGTCGAAATATTACCTAAAACAACACAGCAGTTTACACCATCGATACACCCAACAAAAGCTACACCTTAAAATAAGATTGAAACTCCGTTCCCACAAACAACATTGCAATCAACCAATGAACCAACAGTTTTTTCTGGCTTTTCCCACACCGATTACCAAACGTATATGCCAATAACTAAAAAGCGTTCATTGAAAAAACCAATACATACGAAAGGAAACAAGTTTGCGAACCATAATTACACTTTTTTGCCAAAATAACATTGGTAACCCAATTGCACGACCACTCGTAACAACACAGACCCAGTCTCAAGTATTTAGCTACCACCAGCAAATACCTAAAAGCCCAATAACGCAATTTACAAGTTTTACTGACAAAAAAAAACTCAGACAGATCGCACTGAGAACTGTCCATTTTTTCAACAAAAAAATATTACCCAAACAATGACCAGTTTAAAATTAACCAACGACATAATCAGAAGATAAAGGAAAGTTTCAACGAAATCAACATCAAAATAATGCTAATCACCAAAAAACCAATGGACTGATAAATATTAACAAAATGATATTTTTCAACCAAGTATTTTTTAACATTTTGCCAATCGATCAAGACCACAGCAAACACAACAGAAATTTCCTATAGAACCAAGTGTCGCACAAATAAGTCATATTGTACAATCACAGTATCCAACAAACACTCAAGGCCACCAACCTGAATCAATGAGAAAACCCATTACCTTATTGAAAACATTCGAAAACATGA